TTTTGGCCAAACTCTTGGAGTTGGCCAACGACAACATTATAGTTGAGGAGTACATGAATCTGCCTATCTTAAAAGGTGAGAAGTTTGACTATCAATCAGGCTAAAAAGGCTCACGAGACGATGAGTGGAGGGAGAAGGATGGCCCTTGCCCTAAGCGTGAAAGAGGTTGGTCATCCTGCAAGAATAGGGTGGCTGACCAAAATCCACGAAGATATGATCAATCAAATGATCATTCAACTGACGATTGGGGAAGAAAGAGACCCAGTCAACTGAGGGTTTTGATGGCAAAATCAATAATTTGTATTGTTTCCTCTCTAACACCATATCAAGTGTCATTAAAATAAACAACAAAGGACAAATAAAATAATCTAACTCATCGATTAACCTCTCCATCTCCGACGTACAATGGCTCTTCCCAACAAGCGGCAAGGCACTGTCCTTGATGGCTTCACTAGTCGAAGGATGAGGCACAACAACTTTCGATGGAAAAGCCTGTGTGGCCACCTCCACTAGCACTTTTTCTTGAAGTGGAAACTAAGCCAATCACTGGTAAAGCGGGTCCCAAGCCAGGACAAACACATCAATGGCACACACTTCTGTCCTCTTTCCTAACTTAAGGAGTGACAACGAATTGAAAAACTTCACAATTTCCATCGCCCTCTATTCCTTCATTACTGCTTATTTTACCAACTTAGACCCTTCTAGTCTCTTTTATTTGGTCGGCCTCTTCACAAGAACCTGACAACTACAGACTTCTGTTCTCTTTCGATCGGATATCCCTCTGTAGGTTTTTTCTTTTGAGGCAGCCAGGAACTCTCCGATTTCTTCTTCTCACCCCCTGAAGGACGAATCTTTGAGTTTGGAAGCCCAAAGGACCTCTTCAAAGCTTCCCTGTTCACAGGTCCCAACAATCTCTTCCCTTTCTAAAAATGACTAAATGTCGGAAATGTCATAAATGAACAGTGGGGAACACTGATCACACCCTATTTTGGAGATTAGCAACAAAAAGTTCCAAGGAGTACAATTATAAGAAGTACAATAAATAATTTTTCTTTTTCATTTAGATTCTTTTATTCTTATTTCAGTTGTCACTTTCAAAAAGTAAGAGAATTGAACAACTAAATATGTACATCAGGAATTCGATTGCATGAATCTTTAGGGAATTCAATGGATCACAAAAGATTGAGTCATCAAACTTCATTTCAATTGACCAATTCATTCGCTGACTGAATGAGGGTTCATCCAAACCAAAGAAAACCACACACCTAGGCCAACAACAACTTAGCCAACGTAAGGACACTCACAAGATCAACGTTCGCTTAGTTAAACTGCCACCTAAACATCTATGAAGATCTCTCAACCAAAGGAAGGCTGACCATCACACTATGATGACTCACCCTCTGTCTGATGGAATAATCATTCCTAAGGACAATGGGTCTTTACGAGGGGCTCCCTAGAGAAGCCGGCTGAAGGTCAGCCAGTCAGTCGAATGACTTTAGTTGAGCGATAGAAGATCAAATGACCAAGTCGAACAATTACACATATGAAACAATGCTAGTAACAGTTACGAATACACAACAGCGCCAACAACGGTTACTTGAGTCAAAAGATGTCAAAATTAGTTACAAATATGTAAAAATGTAATTGCTCATAAATTTATTGTAGTTTTCCTTTTAAGTGAGAGACAATCATATAATTTACTAGATACCCTCTATGAACTATGAATTGGCGGGTCATTTTCACATCAAAGACTATTGAATCTACTCCTAGAGAATCAGTACTATTTGTTGCTTTCATTCATTTACCTTCACTCGTTCCTCTCGTCCGACCAATGCTCTATTCCTTGGGCGTGACCCGAATGACATTTTGGGATTCAACATATATACATCACAAATCCTCCAAATTTACATATCTTAACATAAACATTGATTACTTACATTCATATCAATTTACTCCTTGAAATGTGCATTCCACTTCTTAAAAGTTAATAATAGTGAAATTTATATGTAATATGATAGATTTGAGTGTCATTAATGTCAAAATTAAAGTTTTGAAGTTAGATATGTAAATAAATGAGATTTATGGGAATTATAAGAATTGTATGATATGTATGTAAATGCCCCTTTAATATTATGATAAATTTTGTAAACTATGAATCAATACTTCTCTACTAACTAATTAATGATGAATACCATGAAATCACCAAGCCATAAACAAAAGGTCAAATAGAATTTAAACTATGACTTAAGACTTTAGGTTTATAGCAAAATAAATATAAAAATATTATAATAACAAATGAACCCTAAAATAATGAAAAATCCATAACTATAACTTATGAAAATATAAGTTATAAGAAAAATAATATAAATTGTTGACTATATTATATGCATTTAACTATTCCCACATTAAAATGCATAATAAAGCTTCTTAGTGTTAAAATAACAATAGAAGGAGCCCGATTGGCCAATCATTCCATTTATCAAATAAAATAAATAAAATTTTATATCAAACCAACTTCAAAAGAATTCAATTATTTTCTCAAATAAATTAAATATCGGTGCTTTTCAATCAATCCGTATATTGACTCTCTCTCTCTCTCTCTCTTTCTTGGTTGTAAGGCTGTCAAAACGGCTCGTTGTTCACGAACAGCTCGTGTTCCGCTTGTTAAGAAGCTCGTGTTCGGCTTATTTGCTAAGTTAATGAGACGAACACAAACTAATATTTCAGCTCATTTCGGCTCGAAGTACTACTCATCAATTATATATATTGATGAGTAGTATTTTTTTAAAAAAAAATTAATTAACTGCAAAGCTACAAAGATTTATAATCAATTAAAAGTATTAATTAGGAAAATAGAATAATTTTTTTTTAATTAGATTCAAATGATGTTTTCATATAAACAATATGTTTAAAATCTCGCCCCAACTCTTAACATCATATGACTGAGTCATTGGGGTTATCAAAACTACTCTTTGTTCGTGAACGGCTCGTGTTCGGCTCCCTAAACAAACGAGCCGAACACGAACACACCTTTTTAGCTCGAAATATAAACGAGCCCAACACGAGCAGAGCCTACACGAGCAGAGCCTGGGCTCGCTCGTGCTCGGCTCGTTTACACCCCTGCTTAGGTTTTATTTTGTTTTTTTCCGAGGGCAATTACAAACATACCGCACGATTCTTCTGTATTTACGTCCCAACGCCCAGACATTCATATTTACATACATATCACTTAAATCTTTAGCACCACAATAAAAATTCCACTATACTTAACTTTTCAAATGTGAAATACACATTTTCATACATAGGTTTATGATGCCAAGATGTTATAATTGTAAATATCAAACTTTGGTTGTTAGATATGTAAATATATAATAATAATGATAATAATGCAATATAAATTTATTTGTCAAAATAAAATAATAAAATAATAATTATTGCATTAAGTAATATTTAATTATTTTATATAATAAACTAGTTAGGGTTAGGATTGTAATATAGTCAAAATGAGTTGAACACATCATGGATCAAATTTGGCTTGCTTGGAGTAATATATCATCTAATTTGACTTGTATGTATATTTGTCTCTTCTAAATTAAATAAAATGAGGTCAATAATAAATTTATATTAATTAAATTTTCATTTGATTATCATATTAACGAATAATTTTATACGCCCAAACAAACATGTAATTAAAATTAAAATTATATGTTATATTAGAATTAAAAAAGATTTGAAGTTTAATGTCTGGACGGAGAAATTATTCCGTACGGACACCGCATGCAGAGATGCATGCGGGGTGTCCGATCTCAATCGTCGATCACCACAATAAAATTTTTTTTTTAAAAAAAAGTTAAAAGTGGGGCCCACCGAAATACATCTTTACGTGATCGAAGGTGGAGATCGGATACCGCATGCAGAGATCTCTGCATGCGGTGTATGTATGGTATAATTTTTCGCCTGAACGTGCGGTATTCTGACGTAATCTTTTTTCGTAAAATTGAGAGTAATGACAATATGAAATAATATGTGAGGAGGGGCATAAATATACCTAGCTTAGTGTAAAATATATAATATATTAATAATAAATAAAAAATTTAAAATATTAATTGAACTATATGAACCACTTATAAGTTTAATTAATATTAAGCATTTAATAAGTTAACTCCTTAACATTCCTGCACATGAGTAAATAAGTTGAATATTATTATTATTATTATTATTATTTATTATTTTAAAATTTCTAAAATCTATAGAGTTAAATTTAACCTCAAATAATCAAATTCAAACCCTATATCCAATAATATAAACTTTATACAATAGTTTTATAATCTTTAATTTGCATAGTTTTAGAAGAGGATATTGCGTACCCTCGACCTACACAAGGTAATGATATTTGAGTGATATTGATGTGGCATTGCGTCTCAATACTAATACTATTATCACACTAAAAATAGACCAATATCAAGGCCATGCAGTCGTCTAATCCTCGAAAAAATATTCGTTCGGACATTTACATGCCCGGAAGGCCAACTACTGGTTGCCACGTAATCTGCCAATGATGCATATGAGGACATATTAGGGTCTGTTTTGGGCAGCTTGTGCGTTTCAGGATAAATAACTTATTCTGAAACGCGGCACATGGGTCGTCTGCGAGAGTCGACCCGCGGCCTGCGTTTAATGTAAAAAACACAAGCACGGCAGACAACGTTTTCAAAACACGCAAACCAAATGGTTAGACGACATTTTTAAAAACACCGCCACACTTATAAACTGTTCCAAATGAAACGGTTGGTTTCATCGTCCAAATATTTTTAATAGAGATAATATTACATCAGGGCTCCTAACGCACTTAGGAGTCCAATGGTACGGCGTCAAGTGTCAAATGGGCCCCAATCGTAATACACCGATATTGCCAGTATTAAGAATGATGAGACCCGCTTAACACGTGGCGCCCTGTATGAGTACGAGGTAATATTTTTTCCAATATCTTTAGAATTTCAGCCACCTCTTCTCTGATTTTCAGATGTTGACCGCACGGCTTCTCTCCTCTCTGGTTTTTGTCTTGGACTCTCCGGCCATTTTCACAGTACACTTGAGCGACTAGCGCTTCCGCGGCAGATGAGCTTCAGATCCTTCCTTCTGGAATTCAACCACCCCCTCTTCTCCGCGAGGAAGATCGCCGGCGAAGTCCATACGGGAAGAACTTTCAGTACGTCTGACTTTACCGGCTGCGAGTTTTCTGGTAAGAGCGCTTATGAGGTGTTGGGGATATCGGAGAAGTGCTCATCCGCCGAGATAAAGGCCTCCTTTCGGAAACTCGCGAAGGAGACACACCCGGACGTTTGTACTTCTTCCGATGAAGTCGCTGCCTCCCTTCGGTTCCTCCAAATCCTTGCTGCATATGAGGTGCGTGTTGTTAATTGTTGATTGCATGGTTAGAATAAGTGTAAACGGGTAATTTCTTTTTGGGATACGAGGTGGGGGATTTCGAGGGATTCGTTTTCTGTTTGTTATGGATGGTTGGATTTATGGTGGAAAATATGGCGAGTTGGTATTTTGGCGACTAGGTATGTTAGGGCAAGGGCAATCCCGGTTCGACGCTCGACTCCCTTCAGAAAACCTCGGATGAATCCTTCCTCTGTGAACCATTTTTGTTACTCCTTTACCTCAACATCAAGCACTCGATCACGAGACTCTTGAACACTGTCTCGAATGATAGTCTTAAAGTCAAGTGAGTCCTTAAAGTCCTCGATTGTTTTACGCTTAACTTATGAAACATCAATATCTTTTGCGGACCTCAAAAGTCAGATATCTTCTTCTTGGGCTAACACCGTCGACTTAAGGGCTTTCATGCTCTTACTACTTTCACGAAGACTGATTTGTTCTTCCACCAACCCCTCCCGAGTTTTCTCGAGATTCTGAAGCTGCAACGAGAGGGAGGTTGCCATTGTTGAAAGTTCTGCTTGCACTCTGTCAACTGTGATTCCAGAGATGTAATTTTTCAACCCTAGATTCATACCGATACTTTCACTCGCCTTGGAAATATTTGATCTTAACAAACTCGAAATTCCGGCTTCTCAATGCCAGTTCTAGCCCCTGCTGGATTTCCACCATCTTATCCACGAAGAAAATAAATATGGGTTAGAGAGATGAAATAATTATATAGTAGAATAAAATGAAAGAAACTTACAAAACTCTCGGCTTCCAAGAGCCCAGTACATTTATGAGACAATATATTTTCAGGAACGTGAATAGTTGAAGGGCTTGGCAATGGCTCTTGTGATGTTTCAACTTTTTTTGTTTATGAAGCAGTACTTCACATTCACTGCTCGTTGGGAGCCGCTTTGAGGATTCTGCGATGGCTAGCTCGGAAGCTCTCTTCTTAGATTTTTTTAACACTACATCTGTTGACTGTTCGGGGTGAAAAGACAGCTTGACATTGAATAATGATTCCTCACTCACAAATTCGTAAATATACTGTCTCAAACAACAGCTCCTTCAAGCCACGAAATCTCAACATCTGCAATATTCCCTCTTCGGTAGTCTGAAGAGCTACAAACAATTGTTGAAACCTTCCTCGCCTCTCGTGAAGCCCCCAATCATTTTTTGCAAAGAAGACTTTCACTAACCATTTTTTTATCGGTTACTTTAGGCGGAAATCCAACGTCTTATGCTTAAACAACACATGATCATGCGTATCAGTAAAAAAATCCACACAGTAGTGTCAAAATTGCCGGTGTTAACGTAAACCCGCGACTTCTAAAGAAAATTGTCAATCCAATAATGACTGTCACCACTCGACAAGATAACTGAGCAATGCAAACCCTAAACGCTTTCATAATTTCAATAAACTCAGATGCCGACAAAAATCGTAGACCAACTCTCAAGGCTGATTCATGAATAGTAACATACCCATAAGGTGAGGAATATGCTCAATTAGTTGAAGTACCAGAACGAGGTTCTCCGGTTGTCGTTATTTCAATAACGTTTCGCAGCGACGTTTCACCGAAAAGCTTCACCGCGACGTTTCGTCGCAACGCTTCGCCCCAACCCTTCACCGCAACGCTTTGCCGCGATGCTTTACCACGTCGCTTCTTCACTACGTGTCACCGTAATTCTGCACCGCAACGCTTTGCCGCAACTCTTCGTCGCGACGCTTCACAGCAATGGTTCGCCGCAACTCTTCACCTCTATGCAAGATGATTTTCTTCTTCTGGGAAATCCTGAATCAGCTGAGGACTTCACCTCTACCCTCTCCTTCAGACCTCTATTTATAGGGTGAAAAAAAAATTGAATTGTTAAATGCTAATTATTAAAATAATTAAAATGATCATTTAGCTCCAGCCTCCTCCACTTCCATTTCTTGCTGTTCAGCTCCAACACCTGCTTTTCGCTGATCCCACTTCTGCTTTAGCATTCCGTCGTTTGGCGTTCTCATGCCTGTGCCAAGTCTATGTTCTACTTGTCATTGACTCAAAATTGAATTGAGCTCGATCCAGCTAGAATCGAAACATGTAAGCTCAAATTGAATTATTTGGATATGTTCCAAGTCTAAATCCGCTCAAATTGGCCCTTGATACGTTATATTCAACTTTACTTATATATATATATATATATCTGTGTGTGTGTATAAAGAAGTGTTTATACTTTTTGGACGATAAAATTGAGGTCGTCAAAAAATAGGAGGACAACTGATACGCATCCAATAAATTTTTCATCATCTGACATGAATCTTGAGGCATGACACGGATCTCGATACGAGATTTTGAGCAAGAAACATTAAAATCATGATAAAAAATCATCCGAAGCTCTGATTTCTGCAAACTCTTAGTCAAATTAACCGGCTCGATGAGACAGACCTAATGATATAAAAACAAGTCTAATCCGAGTCAAATTAAGCTCAGATCAAGTCATTAAACCACTATTGAAAGATTTTCAGACACATTTGGAAGGTCAAATGATTGTCGAATATGATAAGTTTATACTTAAATTGAGCGTCTTGACAAATCAAATCCAACGAGCCAAAAATCACTCAATTCTGACATCGTTAAAACACTCAAATGTCCATTAAATGCCACATGATCGAGTGAAACTCTCTGGACCGTCTGATTGAAATGGTTGATATTCCGACATTAATTGCACCCAAAACACTGTAAATAGACCCCACCCCTCACATGAGGGGGAGCTTAAGTCTAGAAGAGCCTGAGGCCTTGAGGAGAAGCTGCAGCTTAGCATCACCGCCAATCGTCGTCGACTACCGCCGACTGCTGTCGTCCACTGATCTCGACTGTTTATATGCAACAATATAACAATGTATTTGATTATATTTTTCACCTGTCTTTCCTTACTTTGCAACAAGACCAAAAACTTGATCTTGGAAAAAATAAGAATTTAACTTTTTAAGTTAATATATATTGGGTTACTACGCAAATATACGTATAATTATCAAGTAGTATATGACTTTTTGATTAAACCCCGAATATCGAACACACAGGGGTTGTTCACAGTATGCGATAAATAAAATAACAAATTTTAAACTTTAAAAAGACAAATACTTAAACTATAGTTTTTATCACATGAATGAAATTTAAACTCTTTTTGGTATTTTTAATATTTGAAAATGAAATAAAAACTTATTAAAGATAACTTGAGTTTATGTAAAAGAAAAACACTGAATACAAAATATCTTTCTACTTATCATGAATTAGTAATAAGTATAAGAATTCTGTTGTGAAAATATTCAAATTGTATTGTGCCAAATATGAGCAATATTCTTCTTTACCTTTACCAGAGATGTTATAAAATATATTGACTAATTTAAAGTTTGAATAGTTCTGAAAACCGGTCAGGCGTGGAAGATACTAGCTCTCACTCTAAAGTTCCCTCGGTTCCCCCTACCTGGGGGCTAACATCTCGAATCAAAACCTAAAACGATAAACCAAGTTGGGGGTTTTAGTCTGTCACTCTAAAGTTCTCTAACTCTACACCCTTCAAAGATTATTTCCCTATTTATTTGCACTCAATCATATAAACTACATTCTCATTCATATAATTTCATGTGATTCTTTCCAATTGTTGACTGAGACAATACTATCCCAATTCTTACATGTTCTCACAACAAATTTTAACATCTAAATGAGCCAAATCGAGAAATAAATGAAATTAAATCATCACAACTTTTTCCAACATTAAAGATTAACGTTCTCCACAACTTCCATCCAACACTTTATTCACTTATCATTTTAAGGAGAAAGATAATAAAAACTACTCAAAATCCATGGAGAAAACAAAACCGCACTTTAATTTAAAAGTAGAAATCATTGTCAAACCTTAAAACCAAAAGTAGTTTAAAACAAAGATAAAAACTTATCTCAAATCCCCTACCAAACTCTTGAACTTTCTTTAAATCTCTTCTCTCTTACAACACTCTTAACTCTCAAAATAAAACTAAAAACAAAAGGAAAAATAAATTTATGGTGCCTAAAATTTTCTCCAAAAGCTTCTTCACGAACTTCTTCAAGAATTTTTTCAGGACTCTTCTAAAAGTCTAAACTTCTTTCTTTTATAATTTTCCAAGAGGTGTCTTGGTATCTCTTCAAAATGTGTCATGATTCGATGTATTTGCCAAGGTATGCATCCTTTCACAAGTCCTTTAATTATATTTTCGTCCTTGGTGGTTATAACCACCCATTTAGCCAATAAGTGCCAGCCAATAGGTGCCTCAAATGTCCCTTCGAAATTCGTCAAAATGAATTAACCCTTCAAGTAACTGTCACTAACACTTAAGCGCGGGGCCTCTGGCACTTAGGCACGGCCTTTTCTGTTTCACCGGCGCTTAGGCGCCAAAATACTTTTACATCATTTTTACATTTTTGCTCCAAATTTGATCATTTTTCATACCTTTTAGCATTTTTCACATTTTTACTTGTACCTGAAAGAAAAACACACAAATAACTTTCATTAAAGCGCAATATCTAAAAAATAGGTATAAAAATGTGTCTAAAAACACTATATATTTTAGGTGTATCAACCACCGCCGACCTCCAACAACCACCGCTGACCGTCGTCGACCACCGCCGACCGTCATCGAACTCCGCCAACCGGCAGTGACTGTCACTAACCGCCATTGATCATTATTAACCAGACTTCGTCAATCGACGTTGTAATCTGAAAAATATAGTTATCATTTCTCGTCTGTGGGACAAGAGATTTCTGTAATCATCAATCAATAGTGGATTTCTGCAACTGAGTCATGCCCCGTGGTTTTTTCGTTACGAGTTTTCCACGTAAAAAACTTCTGGAGTCATTATCGCTTGTTTTTCTTTCATCTGTGTGTGTACTGAACTTTTTTACAACGCTAAGATGATAGTCCGTTACTCTACCGCCGCAAATTTTCTAGTCCGCATCAATTGTGATTGTTCAAGGGATTTATGTTGCGAGTAGTAGTTTTTTAGAATTAAATTTTACTAACTTATAGTAGCTGAAGAAATGGCTGTTGTATTCCTTTTTCGGAAGAGAAAAATGTATACATTACATTACACACAATAATTAAAGAGTCAACTTTTTGTCGAAGTTATATAACTGATTTTATAGAAAGCTCCAGCCACCCCAAATGGAATAATCTTTGAAGAGCTTTAGGCTTGGTTTGAGAAGACGGTGAAGTTCCGTTCGGTTGTTTCAGTGAACGTTGAACTATAGAAAAGTTTTTGTTTGATGAAGCAGTGTATCACAAGAACAATAATTTTTTTTCTGAAAGCAGTGTATCACAAGAACGATAAATTTTTGTCTTTTTAGATTGAAGCTTGCCTCGTCCGTTCGACCGGCCATGAATTTTAGAGGAGATTTGCAGAACGGGGGCTCTCCGTTAAACGATGTCTTTGTCCTTCCTCTGCTTAATACATTTGAATTGAATTAAGAAAGGAATTTTCTATTGTATGATCTTTTGTGTTGTGAACAATAATTTCATGAATTGTAAGTAAATTGTAGGAATTTATAATTTCGTGGCTATTATGGTAAGAGGAAGGCCTTTGGTTGGACATAAAGGAAAAACAAGAGAATTAATTGAGGAAGTTTGAAGAAATAGAGGGGATTGAAAAGATAAAACAATTAATAAAAAGTAAAGAGATAAGTAGTACTCATACTTGATCAAGGATTAAAATTTCATAATAAATTAAAAAGAAATGTCTTCACATCAACAATAAGAATTTTATTAATGCCATAAATTATATTCCATGAATCAAAATTTCTATATTTATAGACAGAAGAAATAACAAACTTGTTTCAATTTGTTATCAGACTAACAAATCACTAACACAAACTCATATAAACTAACATTTTGTTTATAAATTTCCTACAAATTCCTATCAAATTGGTCAAAAATGCTAACAAATTAAGATTAGAACATTCCTAATAAAATATTGAAATCTAGAGGACAAAAAAAATTCCAATATCCATGACAAAAAATTCAAAATTTGTCACTGTTTTACTCTAGGTACACATACTTTCCATCCAATTGACATAGTACATATTATATTGTGTTTCGTCCATTGCTATTTCTATTCTAGTTTTAAGAGTTATGAATTTGTGTCATTTTTTATTTTTATTTATGTTGTTTGATGTTTTACTCTGTTTTCCATTGCAGATTCTGTCAGATTCTGAAACGAGGGTCCATTATGATATCTATCTGTTTTCACAGAAGAAGATATTGCAGAAGAAATCTGGGTACTCTTCAGCTATGTACACATATAACTCTACTATAGCAATATCAAAGCCGGATGACGTAGTTGAATGGTTAAGATGGTACAAACATTTACTCAATGATATTATTACCCAGAAAAAAGTTTCTACTGGTTCTGGTTATTTAAATAAACTCGAGAGTGAACTTTATTCAGCAATACATTTTGCATATTATGGCCCCATTATAGAATCTATGGATCTTCTTCCTAGTAGTTTTGAAGCTGAAGAGAGGTCTTTGCGTGAAACTTCTGAGGTTCTGCATTTGGTTTCAGGGAGATATCTTTTTGGAGTTATTTATACAGTTGATAATGTTCCTCAATTGTCAGATCTCCACTCAGAAAAATTGGCTTCTTTTGAATCTTCAGAATGTGAACTTTTTCAATATTGTAGCAAGGAAAGTATGGGTGAAGATTTTCAGGAAACGGAAGTGCGACAAAGTAGAAATTATGCAACAGATATATACAGAAATCTGGAGTTGCATATTTCTGGAAAATTAGTAGCTACAGCAACCAGAAGTCCTGCTCAATGTAAATCCAAGTGTGGCTCTATGGAAGATAATGAAGACCGTATAAATGTTTTCCTTAATCTGAATGATAATATCTATATCGATAACCCAAGTCCCCAAGATTTCAAGGTTCTCTTGGGAACAATAACTGGTTTAGGAAGTAATTCAGAAGAAGGATTATGCTCTGTTTATGATGGAAATGGGCAGAAAACTCACGTGATAGTAAAACATCGAACATTGCTGGTGCGCAAACCATTTAAGCTTTTGTATCTTTTAAAATTTGACCATATACACTAATTTTTCGATACGTTTTAAGTATGATTTATGTATTGATTTGTGGTTTTAACCTTCTAAAAGATTTTCTTTAGTACTATGGCTATTCTTCTTTTTATTCTTTTGTTGTAAAAGGTCACCGTTCTATTCATTCTGTAATAACGATAATATATTCTTATTCATATGGGGCATTTACATGCATACCACCCAATTCCTGTGTAATTGCATATCTAACGCTCAAACTTTACTTTTTACATTTATACCACTTTAATCTATTTAATCATATAAAAAATAATGCAATTTTTACTTTTAAAAGTGAAAGGCAACTTTTCATGCATAGATAAGATGCAGTGTATGTAAATACATATGAATTGAGTGACATGTATGTATGTCTTCCTTATCATGATTGTTTGGATCAATTTGAGTCAATTCATGATAGTCATGCATCACTCCTCACCACTCTGCCAACTAAAACCTTTGACCTATCGAGGTAATACCTTCCTATGTATTTATTTGTGAGATACTAAAATCACTAGAGAACCAAAGTTTTAACATGTAGAAACTTCCTCTTCCCTCTCTTCTTTAATTCATTTTTACGTTCTTCGATTGCTCTGCAGCATCATGCTCATAAAAGATACACAAAAATTTATCAGAAGATCCACATGCTTTTAGATATTTATTACACTACATCGGAATTTTTTTGTTCATATATGAACAGAAGTAAGGCCCATTTTTATTTAGGGGCATTTGCATACAGAGCACACAATTCTTATGTATTAATGTCTAAATTTTAATATTTATACACATACATTAGCGGATTTGGTGCTATGTGTGTAAATATGAAAGTTTAGGTTTCAGATTATGTAAATACATAAGAATTGTGTGCTAAGTATGTAAATTTGCCAATATTTAAACTTCTTATAGAACTTGTCTGCATTTTGTGACGTTTTCATGTATGCCTTTCCAGGTGAAGCACATGCACTGGTTTCAAATTGGTGAGGGCGAAGTTTCGGCATATGAATGTCGATGTACCAGAGCTCGCTTGCCCCCTAGCAAGTAACTGATTGTTTTTTCTAATCTTTTGAAGCCAAGGAAAATTGAAATGATTCAAATTCATTAGCTGAAGCTTCTGATCAATTATATTAATATTTTCATGTCTTACAGTATAGTTTTTGATGTCTATTAAAGTCCAAGATAAAAACCTTTTATTTGATTGCTCGTCTCTTTATAAAGTCGGTCGAACTAGATAGAAAAGCTATTGATGATTTTGACAATTGTTGGATTTGTAGGTAGATTTTATTTTTAGTATATATATATATATATATATTAGAATTTTTGGTATGTTCTAATTTATGTTTCTTTTTTTATCATAAGAAGTTATGGTTGATTTTATTATTTTTCAAATGTGGGAGCCATCCCCTCTATTTATCTTGTAATTGTTTTTTATGAAATTGAAGAGGGATAATTATTTTTCTCCTCCTAAAACTTACATGATCTCAGAAACGACTTATGCCTTCAAAACAAGGATCCAATCCCATTGATTGTCTGCAGGTTCTGTCTCTTATCTCCTGCCCCTCCTAGGTTCATGTAATACCATCACCTTTGTGACCGACCCCTCGATATTAGAGTCTTCTGGGAAGGCAACGACGGCGTTTAGAGACCTCTCCTGATACAATCACGATTAGAGCCAACTGAGAAGTCAACGATTGGATTGTGACTTTCAGAGACTCGACGTTGCTTGATTTAACAACGTTCCTTATCCTTCCTTTAGCATCGACAACAAGGCCGAAATTGCGGAGGTCAAGCTTGTATCCAAACTGTGGTGTGCTTTTTTTTCCTTGAGGTAGCTATTGCATGTTTGCTGCTCTTCTCATATTCTGAGGATTTTGTTCTAATCAACAATAATAATGGGAGTTCAAAGAAATTCTACAACATGGACTGGTTCTAATAATTCTGAAATCACCTCACCTCATCCTAGAACTCTTCTCATGTCTGTATCGGCTGAATATTTTTCTTAGAATTCACCACTTTACCTAACAATTATAAAACTTAATAAACACAACTAGGGTTGTCAAAAAACTCTTGTTCATGAACAACTCATGTTCGACTTGTTAAGTCGCTCGTGTTTAAACTGTTCATTAAGTAAACAAGTCAAACATGAACAAATTTTTTAAGTTCGAATTATAAACGAGCCTAACGTGAGCAACCTTTTGTTCGATCGTGTTCAGCTCATTTTTGCTCGAAATAAAGAAATTTTATATATTATTTATATAATAATATATTATATATTTATATCTAAGTTTAAATCATAACAACTTGTGTGGTTATGCGGTTCTGTGCCTTATATTGCATAGAAGTGGTGCGGGTTCGAATCCAACACCATTCACACGAACAAAAATATATAATTCGAGCTAGACATGAACTCATTGTTCACGAGCAATTTTGAACACGAACCAAGTTCGAACATGAACTAATTTCAAATGAGCCAAGCCTAAGCTCGCTCAAGCTTGGTTCATTTACAACCTTAGACACCACTATCTCGGGTGGGCTCAATGCATAAAATTAACGATCAATATGAGGCAAATTTGAATATTTAATCAGAGAAATTTCAAAACCTAATGCTAACAATTCAAATTTGAAAAAAATGGCATTATGCAATTTCTCTTGTGATGGGTTGACTCATGAACTTCATGGAGCCTACGATAGAGAAACCTCATTTATTTCTTCCTACCACTTGAGATATCTAGGAGGCCGTTTGAAATCTCTATTTAGACTTGGAGAGTTCTTCGCAAATTTTTGAGTTGAAAACTCAATTTTGGAAATCCAAATAAAATGATCGTGATGTTACTACATATTACAATGAGTTAGTAATATTATGAAAGGAGCTTAATCAATATTTTCATGACATTTGGGAAAAATCGAATGATTATGCTCATTACAGGAAGAGAGAAAAAAATGATCTGGTCTACATGTTCTTAGCCAACGTTAACCAGAGTTTAGACAAAGCCGGAAGTCAAATCTTTGGTAGGAAACCTCTAACACGATTCAAGAAATTTTTTTTTCAATTTAGGCGTGAAGAGTCGGGAAAATTTTTTGACATAATTTTTCTTCTTGATAATGTCCTCATTAGTCCTTCAACCCATGTTCAATTCACTTCTTCTTTGAGTTTTGAGTCTTCTTGTTTTGTATCAGAGCTTGTTTTAAATCTTTGGTCTAATGGGTCTAGCCCTCTCACTGGGGAAATAACTTTCATCCAACACCCATTTTTCCATTATGTGTCGTATGAAAGTTTCTCACCCATTTTGCAATTTTTGTGTATGAAGATTGCTAGTACCATGCAGGATGCTTTGAAAGTCCCCTAAGTGGAATGATGCTATTTTCAAGGAGGTGAAAGCTCTTGAAAAAATTGGCATGTGGGAATTGGTTGACCTGTCTATAGCGAAGATAGCAGTCAGGCGCAAATAAGTGTCTTTAATTAAGTATACTTCTGATGTATTTTTAGAACAACGCAGGGCTGACTAGTTGCCAATGAAGAGCTATGATATTAATTATTTAGAGACATAAGCCCTAGTTGCAAAAGTAAACTTTGTAAGGGTTCTTCTAGCACTTGCAATTAATCTTGAATGACTCCTACAAAAGTTGTATATAAAAAATGTCTTATTCAATCGGGACTTGGAGGAAGAAGTGTATATGGATACATCTCCGGGATATAGTGAGAAATTTGACATAAATATGTGCAAACAAAAAACTTCTTACACGTGTTGAAGTGGTCATCGAGAACACAGTTTAAGAAATTTACATTATTTGTTAAATGTTAGGGGTATACTCAAGAGTAGGGAGATCATACAATGTTTTTAAGACATTCAAATGATGGGAAGATAACCATATGACTTGTGTATACAGATGATATTATTCTCACCTATCATTTGTTTTTGAAACTAATAACTTAGGATCTCTAAGGTATTTCTTTGGCATGAAGGTTCCTCGATCGAAGAAAGTAATAGTTGTCTCCTAATGAAATTATGTTATTCATCTTCTCAAGATGCATCAGTCTAGACCTACAGACATTCTAATTGATCCCAATTAGAGACTGGGAGATGGGAAGGAAGTTGATCCAATGAATACAGTTAAGTATCAAAATTTGGTGAGTGAGTTGATTTATTCATCACATACATGCCCACACATTGCCTTTGTTGTTAGTTTGGTAAGTCAATTTATGCAATTGCCCTATGAGAAACGCTTTAAAGTTGTCAATAGAATTCTATGGTATCTAAAAAGTATATCAAGTAAAGAGTTACTCTTTTGGAAGACTTTACAAAGACATATACTGTTGTAGATTGGACAGACTCAATTACGGACAGGAGATCAATTTTTGGATATTGCGCCTATGTGTGGGGAAACTTGATTAGATGGCGAAGTAAGAAACAAAATGTGGTTGCAAGGAGTAGTGTTTAGGCAAAGTATTGGGCTATGACAAATGGAGTATGTGAGACCTTATGGTTGAAAAGAATTTTTGAAGAGTTGTAGATCTCATAAACATGCCAATGAAATTATTCCGGACAATAAAACAACCATAAGCATTGTAGAAAATTCACTGCGCATGATCTCATAAAGCATATGTAGAATGATAGGTCATTCATAAAAGAGAAGATTGATTGTGGAGCATTTGCATGCCATTTATCCCTACTGCTCAATATATAGCAGATATCTTCACCAAACGATTGTCCAAGCCTAATTTTGAGCTCTTTATAAGCAAGTTAGGCATGATTGATATCTTTATGCTCCAATTTGAGGGGGCATTGGATTTTTAGAAACATTTTATTTTTAATACCTTCTATTATTAGCATTTTCTATTTTTGGAATGTAGAATTATTTGTATGTCATTGTTCTTGTTTCCTTCTTTTATCATGAGAAGTTATGACTGATTTTATTATTTTCCTAATGTCGGAGCCATCACCCTCTATTTATCTTGTAATTATATTCTATTAAATTGAAGAGGGATGATTATTTCCCCCGCCCAAAACCGACAATGATTTCTTTTCTTAAGTAGTTTAAGACTAGGTCATATTACATTGCATGAAGATGGTCTTAAAAAAAAAATTAAAGCCGGAAAAGCAGCACATTTAGTCATGGATGGTTCGATTAAATTTCCTTGGAAATATCTCTTCAATCAGCACCAGTCATTTGGGGTGTAACAGAGCCAAGTCAACTACTGAATTGGTACGATCTTAGCTCTGTGAAAAGCTCACAAGTTGAACTTGATGGGCTAATGAATCAAAATTTTGAGTTAGTTCTCACTTGACTCTTTAGCTCGTTTTAAAAATATTTATGTAAACTGCTCTTAAAATATATTAAATCTAAGAGTTTATGTTTTAGTTTCTTATATCATGTGATCTCTTATTATTTCTCTTCTAATTTTTCATTTTTTTTGCCATTTTATTATAATAGATTTTTGAATCAAAATTATTTTCTCTTTAATAATAAATAGGCTGCCCTATGAGTTGACAAACTCGCAGAGATAAGATTGAGCTCGAATTCAAGCTCAAGCTCAAGCTGTGGATTACTCCACTCAGTTCTACTTGTTTACGGCCATATTAGTCATCATTTGCTGTCCTAATTTTCCTATTTGCAACAAGGTTGCCTTATCAACAGCTCATGTGTAAGAATGACCAGTAAGGTAAATCGATCTAAGGATTGCTTTTGGTGGATGATTACTAGGATTAAATTGGATTTTGTAAATCCATTCTCTTTGGATCAAGAGCAGTGTGAAGTTATTTTATTGGAAATACTTTAGTCTCTCCGGGCTGCATACCTATGTTTCAAAAGCCAATTGCATGGCTTTTCTTAAATTTATTTTAACATTCACTGTGACATAATATGTTTAGCTTTTGAAATCTATTAAGTTATGCACTTATTCCATGTGCTAATTCTTCTTGGAAGTATTTGAATGGTATATAGTTTGATTTTTTGAGTAACAGAGAAAACAAAAGGTTATTCCGGTTAAATTTTAATACTTGGATAAATGGCGTTTCATTCTTTTCTCAGAGCGTGCATTCAAAATCATGGGTAATATTTATTTTCATATCTGAATGTAGATTTTATTTGATGATTGAATGCCAAATGATTTTTCAGATTCTGGCTTTTTGAACCTCGATCTTCTACGCATGACATTGGTGGTTGGTATGTTGAAACATTTGGCCAAAACAGAAGGGGTAGGACGGTTCTTTCTAGAAGGCATTGGGATGGAGTCAATGAACTTCCTGAAAAGTAAGAGTTTTTCCTTGTAATTTTTTTATTCTACTTTTTGTTAGTTGTATATTTGAACCTACAGCTACGACAGGGAGAAGGTGTCATTTGTTCTATCTCTACGGTCTTATTTTGCCATCACTACATTGCTTACCTAACTCAATTTCTTCTTAAGCTCATTCGTTAGTGGTTTATTGAGCACCAACTTTACATCTTATTGCATTTTTAGTCGTGGATGATTTTTCATTCAGGTAACCCTAATTTTACTTCCAAGTAGAATATATATGTAGTACAAATTAGTCATGGATCTTTGTGCTTGCTAGGCTATGTCAGTTTTTTTTATTGTTAGTAAATTCTCTATTGGCGACCGTAACTTGAAGGGTGTGGGCCCTGGAACTTCATGCCTGGCTCTTCTATGACATTCTGTATTGCGGGTCTAATTTTTAGAAACTAGATTTATTTTTAAGATAAGGTACTACTTACAGATTTCTATCCTCATTTTATGAGGACTTTAAAATTTGTTTCTTCATAGACATAAACCACTATACTTTATTACTTCGCTCAATGAAGAGAGAGAACTTTGATTGAGGTTATTGTTAGATGCTAAGTGCTTAGTGCATGATAATTATAATTGACTTTAGATTAAAAAAATTATTGTCATTAGCTTAGAGTGGATGATTTTTGGGGAATAATAGTGAACTTGATTAAGATTCTATGGTTTCATCGTCTTATGTTGCGAATCCTGGTTTACTTTGTCAAAAGAAATAGTCAGCCAAATATAATCAAACTATCTTTATAAATAGTCATAAGTTCCATCGTTTCATTAAAAGCTGTCTGCTTGTGATGAATGTTTGTTTCGGAAGATAGTTTTAAGTTGACTTTAGCTAATTGAGGGCTTTGCGCTCTATTATGTGCTATCTTTAATTTATCTTTAAGGAGAACCATTAGAGATTTTATGAGCTCTAACAATGAATGTAATTTGATGATATCGTTTTATGGTGATCACCTCTTGGCCCTAGTGATAATCGTTCCTTTTTATTGTCTCATTTAGTGATAAAACTGAAAAATGTCGAAGGAACCAGGGTGGTATGGAGGAATTTACAGTTTTTCATTAATCCAACCTATTACAGTAAAGAGTAATGAATGGAAAGAGGAGATTCGAGAGGATATCAGATGAGTGACTTAGATCATTTGTTAAACTTGAACAGTCCAGACTTGTTGTAGTACAGGTTACAAGTTGAGGTGTACTACAAATCTGGACTGTCCAAGCTTAACAATGCGGCGGTATACGTTACATCCCCCCTTAAGTTGAGGATTTCAGTTGAAGTGATCAGCTTGGAATTCAGTGCTAGAATCTGGAGTTGGAGAGAGCCTTCTTGAAGATGTCGGTGAGCTAATGTTGAGTGGTGCTATGAAGAACAATGATGTGGCGTTGCTGGATGCAGTCCCAAATGAAGTGACAGCCATTCTCAATGTCTTTGGTGTGAGTGTGCTAGACTGGGTTGTTTGAAAGTGCAATTGCAGAGATGCTGTTGCAGTAGAGAACGATTGGTTGGAGTTGTTGTGTGTGAAGATCAGTGAGGAAGCGTCGAAGCCAAATGATGTCTGCGGCTGCCGAGGTGAGAGCTCGATATTTTGCTTCAATTGAGGAACGAGCAATAGTTATTTGTGTTTTGGCTGAATATGACACAGGTGTGCTGTTGAGAAAAGCACAGGATGTGGACTTGTGATCGGTGAGGTTTCCTGCTCTATCTGAGTTGTTGTATGCTTTAGGGTGAGGTTAGAGCGGGAGATTGGAAGTTCGAATGATATGGTGCCATTAATGTAGCGAAGGATGCTTTTGAGTTGATGAAAATCGGATTGAGTTGGAGCCTGCATATGTTGAGAGGCAAGGTTGATATCTTCGCTTCACAGTAATGTGTCTAGATCGTCAAGAGATAATGGTTGTAGATTTTTACGTATTAATGTTTTGAAGGCATGATAGGTGGAGGGCAATCAATTGAGGGTGTGGTGTATGATGTCCTCTGGGTTGATTGAGGCGTTGGTGGCTGCTAAGGTATCAACCTTAGCTTTGATTTCGAATAAGCATTGGGTCATAGGTTTGCTCAACATGTTGAGATTGTGGAGTTCGTTTCTCAGCTGGATGATTCTAGGCCGGTTGGAAGATTGAAGATAGCGTTCAATCGTTGTCCAGATGTCTTGACAAGTGTCGAGAGGGAGGACATATGGTCAAATTGATGGAGAGATAATAGAGAAGAGAGTCACTCTTAGGTTTTGGTCTATTAACATTTTTTGGGTGAAATTAGGATTGGTAGATACTTGCCGGGCAGGGGCAGGTATCATCGAGGAAACTGTCATATCAATTTGCTCGAATAGCTTGAGTACCCGTGCCTTCCAAGTTGGATGGTTATCTACAACAAGTTGAGTGGAGACTAGCCTCTGGATGTTGCTCAAAATAAACTTCAGCTGGTTGGGGATCGAGTTGTGACTTTTTAAATTCGTTTGCTGGTTTGTAGGTTGGTCGTCAGAGGAAGCACTGGAGGAAGAGGATGCCATGCCGGTCGAGGGAGAGAAGATGCCGTGAGTCTATAGATGCTCTGGTACCATGTAGAACGTCGAAGGAACCAGAGAGGCACAGAGGAATTCACAGCTTTTCATTAATCTACAGCCTATTTGCTTTCGGTGCAGTAAAAAGAGGAGATTTGGGAGGATATCAGATGAGGGGCCGAGATCATTCTATTAAGCTTGGGCAGTCCAAAAATGTTGTAGTACAGGTTGCAAGTGAAGGTGTGGAGCAGGAATATGCAGTGGTATTCATTACAAAAATCACACAATCAGAGAACACGTGTCACGATCTTTAAGAGTGACCATATAAATAAAATTCTCATGCAACTTAAAAATTCAATAATGTAGTATTTGAGTAAAACCAAGAACAAAAGTTTCAATATCTCACTTTAGATTGAGGCTCATAGAATTGTTGTGGCTTTTCTTCCATGAAACATGTTTACAAACACAATGACACAACAAGACAAAGGTGAGACAACATAACTATAAAAAGATTGGACATGGCACTAGATGGACATAATCTTGTATTGTATAAATTATGTAATTTTGAGCATCTTTGATACACGGCTTGAGCATAGTTGATGGAAATTCAACTATGGTTCTTATTTGTGAAATTTACATATATGCCCGCACGATTCTTATGCATTTACAGATCTAACGCCTTGATATTATAAATTTATGCATGAAAATGTGTTTCACTTTTAAACATCAAGTGATAGTGGTAATGTTTGAGTATTATGTATGTAAATATGAAAGTTTAACCGTTAGATATGCAAATATATAAGAATTGGGTTGTATTTATGCAAATGCCCCCTTATTTTTGTCCTCCTTATGATACTCTTGACATATCCAGGAGATTATTTTCATCTGGATTCTACAACATCAGTTATCAAAATCTATATTAAGGTTTTGAGATTTTGCAGAAACATTTGAATTATTATTCTAAGTTTTTTTCACCTTTGTAACTGCAGGAGACTCCATCCAGCCGTATATTTATTGACACTTGCATACAGAACCCTAGATCTGGAAGATGAAAAAAGGAAAAAGAGAACTGTAAGAGATTTTCTGGAACCAAAAATGCAGAATATCCTTCGCTGGTGCAGAAGGTTTATATAATGAAAGACATTTGAAGCTCTGGTGAGTATATACTAGGAAGAAAATTTCGCGTACGTTATCCGTACGCGAGCTACGTACAGATGACAGACACGATACACCGGCCAAAAAAAAACACCTCGCCGGTGTATCGCGTCTGTACGTAGCTTGCGTACGGACGACGTACACAAAATTTTCTCCATTTACATACAGACCACAAATCTATTTAACACGCGTATTTATATGCATACTGCTCAAATCATTAATCTAACATAAACAAATAGCGCAATTACTATCTTTTTAGAAGTGAAATACATCGTCTTCAATCGTAGGTTCATGACATCAATGTGTTATAAATATAAATATCAATGTTTGGGATGATAGATATGTAAAATCATAAGAATAATGTGATGTGTATGTAAATTTCTCTAGAATAAAATATGTTGAGATTGGTAGATATTACCATCCATGAAATCTGCAATTTTTCTATATAAACAATAAAATTTAAACTCTTCAAATCTATCCTTGAGGCCTCACAAGGCAAACACAATGCAAAAGAAGATGGTAAATTTACATACATGCCACATAATTTTTATGTATTTACATATTTAATGCTTAAGCATGTTTACATTTATATTTTGGTGTCATAATCTTATGCATTGAAAGGTGTATTTTAATATTCAAAAGTTAATAATAGTAATAATTTTTTATTTATTATTAAAAGGTTAAATATTATGAAGGTAAATATGAAAGTATCTATCTTAAAAATGTAAATTCATAAGAATTGTGCGGTATGTATGTAAATACATTGAAGACGAAATAATCACCACCAATTCGTTAGCGGTGTGCATTATTTGTTCAAAATAGAAAAATTGAACCAAACTGATGAAACTGCGTTCGAGTTTTTACACTAAATGTAGGCCATGGGTCGACCAACGCAGACGGCCCGCGGGCCGCGTTTCAGGATAAACAGCTTATCCTGAAACACACAAGCTGCCCTAAACGGACTCTAAGCGTTTATAGAACTTCTACCTCTCATCTTTATTATTCAAATTATCACTCAATTATTTAAAATGCACATAAATTTATATCCTCGTTTTTTATTTTATTCAAATTAGCAACCGTTTAATATTGGCATAAATATATGAATTTAATAAAAAGAATATATGAGTCTATACATATGTTTATAATTTTCATGATTAATATGGATGTATTAATGTAATTCTCTTTATTTTCAATACATAATAATGAAAGTTAAATATACACAACAACAATAACAACAAGTCTTTATCTCACTAAGTGGGGTTGGCTCGATGAATCCTTTTTCTCCATTGTGTCCTATTGAATGTCATATTTTCATTCATCTAATAGATTAAGATCATTTTTTTATACAATATGCCCCAGTTTTTTTAGGTCTATATTTATCTTTCTTAACAAAAGATAAATTTAAAACATCGATTCTCCTAATTGGTTCATCAGATGGTGAACATTTAATGTGACCAAACTAACTAAGGTACCTCTGCATATTCTTAACACAAGCTAAATTTAAAACATCTATTCTCCTAAACATCTATTCTCCTAATTTTCTCCTAATTGGATCATCAGATGGTGGACATTTAATGTGACCAAACCATCTAAGATGATTTTTTCTAATCTTGTCAGCCAATGGAGCTACTCCAATCCTATCACAAATATATTAATTTCGCATTTTGTCTTTTAAATGTAAAACCACTCATCCACCTATAAATTTTCATCTCAACAATACTTAACTTTGTTTTATGCTTCTATTTTAAAGACCAACATTTGGGGGCAATTGAACATGACAAAGCTAGCCACCAACTTGTAAAATTTTCTTTAGTTTAAGTGGTACTCTTCCATCTCACAATAAGCCCCGAGCATTCCTCTACTTCAACGATCATCTAAAAGTTTAAGTATATCATTTAAAAATATATGCTTATTTTTAATTTGACAAACATAAAAAAGAGTTTAACTAAATTTTGAAAAATATTTATTTTATTTAAAAATACATATAATATATAAAAATTAATTATAATTTATATTACACTCAATAAAAAACATCTAATAAAATGTATATAATTATCCCTACAATAATATGTAGGAAAATTCACATATATTCTAACTCTTTTATTTTCTCTTCGTGTCGCCTAGACTTACCCGGCTTGCGTCTGGAGTCTGGACGGAGTCCAGACGCAATATTTTTCTCAGGCGACATTTTTAGTAAAAATTAAAGCTTAGGTGTTAATGTGTAAATACATTGGAGTTGAGTGGTATATATGCAAATCTTTAAAAAAAATAAAGAAAGTGTAATTGGCATTAAAACCTTTTATGGGACTCGATGGGCAAATTTCCTATAATAAAAAAAATCTGATAAATTATGAATAAATTTATATGAAGCATTTCAAATGATTTATTTCATTAAAGGATGATTTCAAATCATATGAATAAATGGTTAAGTCTCTTTGGGACACCTGCAGTTTATTAAAAAATAAATGTGAAGCTGTTAAATAATAATCTGATGTTAAAAAAACAGCGGTGGTTATTACAATTTTTTTTTTTTTTTAAAGTCAGACTGTAGCTAAAAAACTACCTCTGCACTAGCCATGAGTGCTGGGAAAACGAAGGTTTAAACGACAACTTTTTGAAAAAGCTATCAAATGCAGTTTACCCAAACCCGCAGTGCCCATCGCACCGCCGCTCCAAACAGACCCTTAATCTATTACTCTATAAAACGGATAATGATGAATGATTTTATATAAAAATTTTAACAAAAAAATTCTTATGATGTAAGGTAAAATATTTATGATATTTTGGAGAAGCAATATGGTGAATATGTTGGTTCAAATTCAACTCATTTATTGCAAAAAAATAAATAAATAAATAAAAAAAATAATTCAATTCTTTTATTATAATAATTAAAATATTTTTGTTTTGATCAATATTACCTAAAAATGATGTGTTTTAAGTCAATAATTAATTTCAGCTAAATTTGACCGACTCAAATCCCTAATAATAATTTTGGGTCTGCAAAAATTTGACCCGATATCTAATAATATTCCTTAAATATTATTTTTTTTCCTAAGAGGAATTAGGAAAGAATGCAGCTCTTGTAATTGAAGGATTTGTTGGTTTATACTGAAGGTATGTACATAAAAAAAGCTCGATATTTTTGAACAGCTTGTATTCGAATTTTTTGTTAACTGAGCGAGCTGAACACGAATAGTTAAATTATAAGCAAATTGAACACGAACAATACTTTGTTCGGTCGTGTTGAGCTTGTTTTAATTTGAAATAATATATATATATATATATAGACACACACACACACACAAACACACCTCTAACAAATCTCCATCATATGACACATGTTGAAGTAACCTTTTGCGCAAGACATGTTCAAACTTTGATAAAAAATCATTCAGAACTCTAATTTCAGCAAAACTTGTAGTCAAATAATCGGCTCGATGAGATGGACCTGATGGTACCAATATTAATCTATTCTAAACAAAATTGAGCCTTGATCAAGCCATTAAACAATATTTGGAAGTTTTCGGGACACATTTAGCAGGTCAAACGGATGTTGAATCCAGTGAGTTCATAGTGGAATCGAGCGTCTTAATGAAACGAATCCAACGAGCTCAAAATCGCTCAATTCCGACATCATTAAGACACTCAAATGCCATTGGAAGTCAAGCCCAAGAGACAAGACTCGATGGGAAGATACAGTATCCCTGAACATCGAGCCCAAGAGGTAAGACTCAATGAGAAACTATCAAGCCCCTAGAAGTTGAACCGAAGAGCCAAGACTCGTTAGGAAGATATGACGCTTCTGGAAGTCAAGCCCAAGAAGCAAGACACGAGGGAAAACTACCATGCCCCTGAAAAACGAACCTAAGAGACAAGTCTCGATGAGAAGCTAGTAGTAGACATGATCATCGCTAGAAAGACTCTATAAGAATAAGTGGTTGATAGAGTTTTTACTCAAAGACCTCAGAATAATAGAAGTCTTATAAGACATAAGTACATCAAAGACCTCACAAAGCTAGAAGTCTCAGAAGACATAAGTACATCAAATGCCTCAGAAGGCTGGAAGCCTTTGATAACACAAGTACATTAAAGGCCTCAGAATGCTACAAACCTTAAGAGACATAGGTACATTAAAGACCTGAAAGAGCTACACAGAGATGCATCAAAGACCTCAGAATGCTACACTTCAAAGCGTGATGAAATGCCCCTAAATTTTACTTTGGAGATTGAGATTTTTTATGTTTTAGGTTTAGCCATTATGGGTTCCTTTGTGTTATCCTTAATAAATTTATATATTTTAATAGATGTGGATTATGTTTTAAAATGTATTGAGACGGCGAATCTCCCAAATTATGATGCTCAAAGTTTAGCTAAATTCTTAAATAAGAATATAAAAATGAGATGCTTAGAGTGATCATTAGTGATGGGGAAGCCACTTTAGGAATAGAAAAATTGAGATATTAGTTATTAAGTATGAAATTAAGCATAAGATTGACATATCATATCATTTGCAAATGAGTGATTTAGCAGAAGTATTTAACAGGAAATCAAAAGGAATTTAGAGAAAACCTCAATCCTAATAGGAAGGATTGTCCTTCGAGATTAGATGATGCATTATGAACTTATAGGACTGCTTATAAAACACATATCAAAATGTCCCAATACAGGCTCATATTTGACAAAACTTGTCATTCACTAATAAAATTAGAACATAAAGCTTATTGAGCTGTTAAGGAATTTAATTATAATATGAAAGAAGCCGTTAAGAAAATATTGTTGCAGTTAAATGAACTCGACAGAATTAGACAAAGAATCTTATAAAAATACTAAGTTTTATAAAGAGAAAATGAAAAAGTTGAATGATCGAAAGATTCTTACGAATGATTTTGAGATTAGATAATGCATCATGGGCTTATATGTCATTCTCAATAATAATTTATAGTATATAAATTATTTCGGAGAATATTGTGATTACTCTCTTAAGTCAATCATAATGTGAATTTAATAGTGTATTATATGCCCTTAAAAGAGTGATTTCTTTGTTTAATCCTAATCAGTGAAAAAACCTTTTTATTTTATGAAACTTAAGTTCTTATCTCATATTATTTTTGACTTGATCACGAAACTTACATGAATTACTTTTAATATTCATGAAATTTGAATTAAAGTTTAAGTTTATCAAAATTTTATTAGATGAACTCAATTTAACTTTTAGATAATAAAAATAATTCAAATTATTAATAGCTTAATGCCACGGATAAATAGTCTCACATCGGCTAAGTGTAGGGCCAAAAAACAGTATGTGACATTAGGGAGCATATATAGTAAGGGTAATATCAACTAATTTTCATTAAAATTTAAATTTTTAGTATGTGGAATAAATAATATTCATTATAATCATTATCACTTGTTTATTTACATGATTTTATTAATTTAATATTCAAAATTGATATGACTAATTTTTAATTCGATCAATTTTGCAAAAGCAAAATTCAAATCGATAGCTTAGATTCAAAAAAGAAATTAAAACTATATCTAATGAAATTTAAGATAGTACTACGTATCTTGACATGTTGATTGACATCTATGGTATAAGTCCCATCAGGTTGATGGTTCGAATCTCTTCTGACACAGTTGACCTTAAGTAGGTGTTGCTAGAATTATTAGACGCTGGAAGTAGGGGTGTAAACGAGCCGAACACAAGCGAGCTCAGGCTCAACTCGTGTTGTCCTCGTTTATATTTTGAGCTCAAAAAGTGTGTTCGTGTTTGACTCGTTTGCTTAGCAATCCGAATACAAGCCGTTCACGAACAAAGAGTCGTTTTGACAACCTTAATCGGTAGCCATAAGATGTTAAGGATTAGGGCAAGATTTAAAAATTATTATTTATATTAAAACATCATTTGAATCTAATTTAATAATTTTTATTTTATTTTCTTAATTAATACTTATAATTGTATATATATATAATCGAAATACTAATTGATTAGTAGTATTTCGAGCCAAAACGAGCCGAACACGAACAAACAAATCTTTATTCGTGTTGTTCGTGTTCGGTTCGTTAACTTAGCGAACGAGCCGAACACGAGCTTCTTAGCGAGCAGAACACGACCTATTTGCGAACAACGACCCGTTTTGACAGTCCTAGCTAGAAGCTCGTATAATAGCCTCTAGTCATTCTCTTGTAGAAAAAAAAAAAAAAAGTGAAACATAAAAGACAAATATAAAAAATAAAAATAAAAATAAAATAAAGAGTAAATATTATTTTGTTTCCAATTATAAAATTTAAAATAATATTTAACATATATTCATTTGAGTTAATTAAATCAACACTCATAGAAAAGAACTGCTGGGACATGTTTAATGGCTAAGGATTTTAATCAAAAGCACAAAAAAATAAAAAATAAAAATAAAAATAACTCTAAATTCCAACGGATCACTCATTCATTTAAAACAAAAAATTACAAAAATAAATAAATGATCTCGAATGATATCTCTTCCAGAACATCATAGAACGATGATAGTGTAAAAATAACTTCTGATTATTTAAAATAAAATTCTAATAATTCTATCTGAAAATTATTAGAACCATAATTTAGAAAATTCATGAATTATTTTGATATAACTATAAATTTTGTGACTAAAATAATCCCATATAATAATCATGAACTATATTGTCATACTCAAATCCTAGAACAATAAATTAGCGAACTGTTCAGCCAAAACCTAATGCAGAAATCCCGATGATCAATGGAAAAAAAGATCAATTATGAAAATTGCAGCCATGCAGATTATACTTTTGGTATTAAATTATCACTTTGATTCAGTATTATTTCATCTTAATTTAAACATGAAATAATAGTTAAAAAAAATTACCAAATAATTCAATAAAAAAATCGCTAAACCGTGAGAAAGAAACGGGGCTTCTTCAATGGAAAGGAACCCCGCACCTCTTCCTCCTCTTCCAAGCACCGCCAGCCCGCACCTCCGGCGAACTCCGCCGCGGCGGGTAAGTTCAGATCAAACCCTAACCCCCTTCCGCATCCCCCGATCGCAGATCCAGTACCCGCAGCACTTCCGATCGTCCCATCGTAGTGCCTTCGCTTATGTCCCCCAAGCGCCTGACCCGTCGAAAACGATCTAAAACAAATCAAGCACTGATGACCTCTCCCGCCGGCGATCAAAACTGCCGATCCACCGGAGATCCGATCATCGGCTGGGGGTGAGAGGG